CTTCGCCGGGCCCCACGCGGACCCGCGCGCCCGGGCGGGGCGGGCCCGGCAGCCTCTGCGCGCCTGCTCCTCTGCATACGCCACGCCCTCGTCGTGACGTCCCGATGCTGGTGTTTCGCACCCCTGGGGGTTGAAAATAGAGGACTTAGGAGAGATCTACTGTGATTTTTCTAGCTAAAATGAACTTTATAGTTTTGTTCTTTGTTGGTTTTGTTTTTTAAAGTAATCTCTACACCCAGCGTGGGTCTTGAACTCCACCCGCAGGCGCATTCTGTACTCGCTGATCCAGGCAGGCGACCCATACTAGTTTGTAGTTTAAATTTAGCCTGAGGCGTTTGATTTTCTCATCATCTTTTTCTAACCTTTTTCCTACTGAGAAATCACCGTATTTGGGCTAGTCAGCCCCCCGTGGGTTTCTACTTTTACCTGTTCTTTGGCTGACCAGTGGCCTGAAGCAGGTTAGGGCAGATTTGCTTGACTTGTAGATTTCCCTATGTATGACATATTAACTATGTTAAGTAAAAAAGATAAAGTCCAAAAATATATGTAGTATGCTACCGTTTGTCTAGGAAAAATGTGAAAACAAGAAAATTATAGTCTTGCAAAAAGAAACACAACACTGGGGCGCCTGGGTGGCTCAGTTGTTTAAGCGACTGCCTTCGGCTCAGTTCATGATCCTGGAGTCTCCGGATCGAGTCCCGCATCGGACTCCCTGCTCACACCCCTGCGATTTCCCCAAATGTGGGAAACTCGACTGCATAATTTGTGGTAGTGGGGGACTGCGTTCGCGCTTTCCCCTGGTTATTTTCCTTTACTAAAAAAAGATTCTTGTTTAGTCCTGCTGCTTGAAGGCTTTTGTTTTGGAAATGCTGTTGCTTGCTGTTATGTTAGATAAGATAGTTTTGTCCAGTGTCGTTAAAATACTTTTTAAATCGGTGCTTGACTAGCACTCATATCGATATCGTATCCTCCTCCCTCTCATATTCTCTCTCTCTGTCTCATTCTCTCTCTCAAATAAATAAATAAAATCTTTCAAAAAAAATTAAAAAAAAAAAACACAAAACTAAAAAACCAGAACTGATGATAGTAAAGGGGGAGGGTGTGAATGGAAGGAGAGAGTGATGCTTTACTGAGTGTACCTTCTTTGTAATTCTGACTTTTGCAACTCTATTACTGTTTTACATATATTTTTAAATTGCAGGGGGAAAATTCCTAAAATTGAATATGAGCATAACTGAATCTAACTATCTCAGATGAATAGTGTAACCACACTGAAATAGAAAAAAATAACCAACTGAAATGACTTTTGGACAGAGTACATTGACTATACACATCTTCAAGTCTAAAGACAAGAAGTGCAAACAAATACTGAACTGTCCCATAGTAGGTTTGTATTTCATAGCTACCGGGTTGTAACAATTCTGTACTAATGTTGCATGTATTGTAGGATTGAGCTAATGAGTAAATGGGTGTTGGGGAGTCAAGGTTCTCACAGCTGGAGAAAAGAGATGCAAATATGGAATGGTGGAGGGCAAGAAGAAACTATGTATGTTTAACTGAAAGTTGGAATTGAAGGTATGGTCTGGGCTCATTATTTTTAGTAGATACAGATACGTGTAGGAAACTTTTTACCTCTATTCACTAAAGAGGACTAGAAGCAAAGACAGTAGCATTAAGCATACTTACTGCCATAATATTGCTTTCTAAATGCCATTCTCCACTAAAAAAAACCAGGCCTCTTTGGAGAAATAGATCATTTTCAGGGGTCAAGAAAAGTACAAAATGGCCTGTGGGAAACAGAACAGCACAACGACCACTGGTGCGTGTTCATTCAGACTCCGAGATCTCTGAGAAAACTCGAGATTGCAGGGTTAAAAATAACCCGAAAGGATCAGAGTGAAATGCCCTTGGGATGTGTGTGGTCTGTTCTAAAGTACACAGCGGATGTTTTGTAGATAGGAAGCCAGCTGTAAACAGCACACTGTGCATTCCCTTCTGTGTTCTCTTATCCTGTGTTAAGATCCAAGTACAATGGTGTTTACAATTAATTGATCACAGCCAGTTACAGATTTCTTTATTCCTTCTCCACTCCCATTGCTTCACTTAACTAACCCTGTGTAGGTGGAAGAATGTGCCTTACTAAGCCCCTGCTGTAAATCATTATAGATCTATATCATTGTAGAAAGTATATTAGATTATGGAAAATAAACCTTGGGGCCTTGGGCTGTTTGCTCGGGGTCCCCTGTGCCTTGCTATACTGTCGTCTCTTTTTCTCAGTTCCTTCGGCGCCCCAGGTCCCTGACTCTCTGAGGTCGACAATGGCCCCGGAACATCTTTTGCCAGAAGATAAGGAAATGCTCCAAAAATTTTATGGACATGTCGAAAGGACACAGTAGCCACCCTGCACTTGATCTTAGCCAAAAAGCGGAGAAACGATCCACAGTAGCCACCCTAAAGGGGCTTTCATAGGCCCAATCTGGGAACATTTGAACATCAAAATAAATTTAAAAACAGTTATGGTCACAAACAACAGAATAAAATAACAACCATGGGGGTGCCTGGGTGGCTCAGTTGGTTGGGCATCTGCTTTCTGCTCAGGTCATGGTCCCGGGGGTCCTGGGATTGAGCCCTGCTCGGTGGGGAGTCTGCTTCTCCCTCTCCCTCTGCCTGCTCCTCCCCTCTGCTTGTGCTCTCTTTCTCTCTCTCTGTCAAGTAAATAAAATCTTAAAAAAGAAATAACAACCATGAGTTCATACTGATAGTACATAGGGAAGGAGGGAAAGTTCTTTCTTTCAATACAATGCCAACTAATAAATGAAGAATGAATGATGGAATTAGAAAGTCAACATTTGTCGGGGCGCCTGGGTGGCTCAGTCGTTGGGCGTCTGCCTTCAGCTCAGGTCATGGTCCCAGGGTCCTGGAATCGAGCCCTGCATGGGGCTCCCTGCTCAGCGGGAAGCCTGCTTCTCCCTCTCCCACTCCCCCTGCTTGTGTTCCCTCTCTGTGTCTCTCTCTGTCAAATAAATAAAATCTTAAAAAAAAAAGGGGGGGCGCCTGGGTGGCTCAGTCGTTGGGCGTCTGCCTTCGGCTCGGGTCATGGTCCCCGGGTCCTGGGATCGAGCCCCGCATCCGGCTCCCTGCTCCGTGGGAAGCCTGCTTCTCCCTCTTCCACTCCCCCTGCTTGTGTTCCCCCTCTCGCTGTGTCTCTCTCTGTCAAATAAATAAAATCTTTAAAAAAAAAAATCAACATTTGTCAATTATGATGCAAGAGTCATCAATGGATGCTAAAAAATATTGTGTTAGGCGTGCCTGGGTGGCTCAGTCTGTTAGGTGTCCAACTCTTAGTTTCGGCTCAGGTCATGATCTCATGGGTGTTGATATCAAGCCCACCCCCCCCATGGGCATCCACACTCAGCGGGGAGTCTGCTTGAAGATTCTTTTCCTCTGCGGGGGCCCCCCCCCCCGCTTGCTGTGGCCAAGCGGACTCCCCGCTGAGTGCAGAGCCGGGTGGGGGGCTCCATCCCAGGACCCTGAGGTCATGACCTGAGCCAAAACCAGGAGTTGCGGTGTTCACAGCCGCCGCTGCAACGCCGTAGCTCGCCAACGCCAGCGCCGCCTCTAGCTCGCCGAGCTCCAGCCGAAGGAGAAGGAGGGTAAGTAAGGAGGTTTCTGTACCATGGCTCGTACAAAGCCGACTGCCCGCAAACGGACCCGTGGTAAAGCACCGAGGAAGCAACTGGCTACAAAAGCCGCTCGCAAGAGTGCGCCCTCTACTGGAGGGGTGAAGAAACCTAATCGTTACAGGCCTGGTACTGTGGCACTCCGTGAAATTAGACGTTATCAGAAGTCCACTGAACTGATCCGCAAACTTCCTTTCCAGCATCTGGTGCGAGAAATTGTTCAGGAATTCAAAACAGATCTGCGCTTCCAGAGTGCAGCTATTGGTGCTTTGCAGGTGGGCCTCTTTGAAGACACCAACCTGTGTGCTATCCATGCCAAACGTGTCACAATTATGCCAAAAGACATCCAGCTAGCGCGCCGCATACGTGGAGAATGTGCTTAAGAATCCACTATGATGGAAAACATTTCATTCTTTAAAAAAAATTTTTTTTCTCTTCTTCCTGTTATTGGTAGTTCTGAACGTTAGATTTTTTTTTCCCGTGGGATCAAACGTACCTAAGTATATGATTGCAAGTGGAAAAATAAGGGACAGAAATCAGGTATTGGTAGTTTTTTCATTTTCATTTGTGTGTGAATTTTTAATATAAATGTGGGGACATATAGCATTAATGCAAGTCAAAATGTTTCAGTGAAGGGGCGCCTGGGTGGCTCAGATGGTTAAGTGTCTGCCTTTGGCTCAGGTCCTGATCCTGGGGTCCTGGG